GCTTTGCATTGTTACAATGTGATCCAGATACCTCCATTTATTTGTCAGCAAAAGTCATTGAAACTTAATTATTAAAGTCATCAAAATGCGTACATTTTTTGACAGCATCAGGGCTTTTGTTAAAACTACAGATCACATTTCTGCATTTTTGTATTCGCACTCACAGACTGTCGAATCGAAAGTAGGACAGCGCCAAAATCAAAAGTGCATTATGGGTAATAACGTTTTTGGAAAAGTTTTTACATGCTAGTTATTTTTAAACAACATTGGTTATGTGCTGGATCACTTGAAGTCCAATGTAAAATCTGGGTCCTGAAGCAAAACTAGATTTGACTCATTGCTTCATCTCACACACGCACCTTAATTAGTTAGCATCTTGCAGCAATAACCTTGAGTGAGTGAGTAATTACACAGAAAGGGTGGAGGATGAAGAAAGTGGTGTGGGAAATCCAAGATCTGCAGCTTTCCTTCAACCAAAGGACATCATGAAGGGTTTAGGGATTCTGGGTTTTGCAGTTCCCACTTTCAGAGAAAGGCAGGCCGACTTAAGGGTGTAAACTTCTGTGTAAGCAAACTCAGAGAGCTTCAAAGGGTCAAGAATCCTGCCGGGATTTGGCCTGCGAGATGCTACCCGATAGATCCTGCTCGTCTAGGCACACGAATGTCTATTTGCATGTGGATGTGTGTGAGGGTGTGCATATGGAATTATTATTAACCAGATCTCTGAAAAACTTGATTCTGATTGATCCATTGCACCATTCAAGAGTAAAATCCCTGTAAAGCACGGTTATTATAGTGGTGGAAACCAATAAATAAAACACTCCTAAACATATAATCATGCATAGTTATTTAGTATTACATTACAAAACTGTAACAAGTTGGACAGGTTGTGACACGCCTTCATCCTCAAAAACCACAAACACTGTGCAAGAAAATATGATCCAGACTATATTAAATACGGCTTCACTTGCAACACAAGTAAACACGGTTTGTCTCGTCGACCACAGTGTGTTTTGTGCCGTGAATTATTGCTTCCGAGAGCATGAAGCGCACAACTAAAGACACGCTTTATACAGAATTTAGCCCAGTGTTGTTCTGTCTGCTGTTTCCAACGATTCAATGTCATTTCTCCTGTTCAGTCGGTTATGTTAAAATCTTTGCATATTATTATGCTAATGCAATTCATGTATTAATTAAAGGAGAAGTTTACCAGTTTTCAATCAGCTTTGCATTGTTACAATGTGATCCAGATACCTCCATTTATTTGTCAGCAAAAGTCATTGAAACTTAATTATTAAAGTCATCAAAATGCGTACATTTTTTGACAGCATCAGGGCTTTTGTTAAAACTACAGATCACATTTCTGCATTTTTGTATTCGCACTCACAGACTGTCGAATCGAAAGTAGGACAGCGCCAAAATCAAAAGTGCATTATGGGTAATAACGTTTTTGGAAAAGTTTTTACATGCTAGTTATTTTTAAACAACATTGGTTATGTGCTGGATCACTTGAAGTCCAATGTAAAATCTGGGTCCTGAAGCAAAACTAGATTTGACTCATTGCTTCATCTCACACACGCACCTTAATTAGTTAGCATCTTGCAGCAATAACCTTGAGTGAGTGAGTAATTACACAGAAAGGGTGGAGGATGAAGAAAGTGGTGTGGGAAATCCAAGATCTGCAGCTTTCCTTCAACCAAAGGACGTCATGAAGGGTTTAGGGATTCTGGGTTTTGCAGTTCCCACTTTCAGAGAAAGGCAGGCCGACTTAACGGTGTAAACTTCTGTGTAAGCAAACTCAGAGAGCTTCAAAGGGTCAAGAATCCTGCCGGGATTTGGCCTGCGAGATGCTACCCGATAGATCCTGCTCCTCCAGTCGCATTAGCTATATCTGTCCGGGGGAAGCGCGGGCATCGGTGACCTCTCCGGGGGATAGAGGGTTAATGCCGCCCTGATCCCCTCGGAGAGTATTGGCTTCCAAGGGAGCCACAGGCAGCCGGGGGAGATCTAGTGCCTGAGCCCTGCACAACTTGAGAGAAACTAGCAGAGTAATTTGAGCTAATGACTTAGCGGCAAGCACAGGCCTGACCCCGAGCTTGCCTGGAGCAGATGCTATCAGCTGAACACGGCCCTCTAAAACGTGAAAAAGCTGCCCATGTCTCGCTCTTTAGTCGACGAACCGCGAGTTAAGGCCAACGAGCCCATTAAACAGAATTTTAATTAGCGGCGATATTGCTGGGACCTCGCTGGGCGGATGACCGCGCGCTCTTCGGGGGATATTGTGTTTGTCTGCGAGGCTTGAGCGAAATGCAGTGTGCGCCGCGGAGAGAGGTACAGGTGGAAACAGAAGAGCGGGACCCTGCGTGCCTACGCGTGGCTTATTTTAAACTTCAGCCCGAGACGCTAATGGGGACCCGATGCTTGCCTTGGCGCGTGAGCCCGGGCTCATTAACGCGGCCATCATTCTTGAATGTTAACAGAGAGAAACGCGTGACGCGCGAGATCAGATGAGATCACATCAGATCACGGGATCCTGTAAGAGCAGTAAATATGACTCCTGTGTGTGGAACAAACAGCGACGGTGTCAGACCGGTGCGCGCTAATATTGCATCACATTCTTTAATGTTTCGGATTAATTTTGTGCATTACTTTTATATATGACTAAAACACCTTCGATATTCGGTGTATAAAAATTATGTATAAAATATTAAAATAATACGAGTAATAATAATAATGATATATATATATATATGAGCACATTTTTGTATGAAACCTAAAGACATAGCAGTGATTTTGCGTGAAATGATTATGTCTTTGCTTTAATTTCTAAGTGTTATCTTTAAGTGCTTGTAATCACATTTTTATTTTTATTTGAAATGAGTTGGGCGTGTGAGAGACGATATTTAACGATATTTAGTTACCTCTCTTATTAGTGCAAACAGTGTCATATTAAAGAATAGTATTCCCTCGGCCTGCCCTCATCTACAGCGCTATCAGAGCAATTCACAAAATCATAAACTGAGTACGTGTTAACAGCTAAACGCGATTTTTTGGAAGGTAAAATTAACAAACATCGCACAATAAACAGCAGGTCCTAAAACAGCTTCCCTAAAAAAACAAATACCCCGTGCATGCTTTAATTGAGATCTACTGTATCTGTCAGGAGCTAGAGGCCGAGTGGCAGGCTGACGGCTATAACAGCCTTATTTAGAGTCAGTGTGGACAAACTCTCTCTCATGCCTTGATCAGTCTAATGGGAGGACATCTTCTGTGACACCTTTATGGAAGAACCGACCCAGGACTCACTTTAGAGCCTCGCAGACTTTGATGTATCTTATTAAACACACATGGACTCGATTGGTTAATACTTTTTCTCTCCTTTCCTGACCTGCAATGTTATTTACGGCCTGACTCTAATGGTAGATTAAAGTTGTAAAGATAAACGGTGCAGAATAGAGGGAGGCCATTAGAGGCAGCTTTCAGAAAGTGTTTTAATGTGCTTGGATTGACTGAACTATGCGGGATCAGCATATATGCGTTGCACAAACACACATACAGAGAGACGCTTAGACGTTTTTCATAAAATAACTGACTATCAAATTAATCTGTTTTGGGGAATATGGCATAACTTTTAATTGCTGTATCGAAAGGCTTTACTTTAAAATGTTAACGGGGTGGCCCTTATAAGAGAGACGTCATTGCATGAGCGCGCAGGGCCCCATCGGAGCTGGCAGATGTTTAGACACGATTTTACGGATCGTTCAATATCAGTCTATAATGACGCCCGACTGACCATCTTAAACCCCGCCGGGAGCTCATAACGCTCGCTTTCCAGCCCTGTATTCATCACGCTGAAAAATAGATGAAGGCCTGGATTATAAGCAGCCTCTATTATTCCCTGCCATCCAGAGCACATTCAACATTCACGCTGCATATGCACACACACCGGAGATTTTAAACGCACTTTTGTAGAAATAAAACAAGAAGAGTTTGAAATGTGTCATTTCTAAATGGTGCCGCGTAATTTGGCGCAGTTTTAGGGTCTGCATTTGTCTATTACGTTGACACGTATAAATTATGATTGCAATAATAATCTATTTGAGGATATGAGAAAATGAGACTATAGCATTAAGTGTTGAAAAACAAGCCAGTCCAAATGGTGCCAGTGCAGACTAGCGCGTATTTTATTTACAATCAAGAGATATAAATTAGTAAAAGTCTCCTTGTTAGCAACATCGTGTAACTTCGGCTTTTTAAATAAAAACCAATCATAATTTATTTACAAAACGATGTTCAGTTACCATTGCAATACAACTTGCATAAATTATAGGCATTACAAAAATAAATATCAAATGTATTCCACTCTTAGTCAAGTTTACACCAGTCCCGAGTTCTCGTTACACTTCACACCTCTAGCACATAAAGTCTGACAGGGGGTCTAGAATGCCCCGCGCGCGCGTGTGTACAACTGCTGGCAATGAAGCTACTATAGGGATCCTGAGAAATAAGTCTCCTCATCGAAAAGTCACATATGTTGGGATAAAGTACTTCATCCATCAATCAATCAATCAACAGTTCATCCAAACCAGACTGGCTATTGTGCCTTAAAAATTCGCTCCATTTTTCTTTTTTTTTTTTCTTTTCCATAATCGCACGTGTTATTGTTCTATAGGCAGGTGCTCTGTAGTCCGTGGGTGTACAGTGGCACACAAAAGGATCCGCGTAAGAGCAAATGTTAGTTTAAAACAGCTTGGGCAGGGAGAGAGAGAGAGATCCAAAGGAAAAAAAAAAAATATATATATATAAAACTATTGCATTAAATTTAGAAACCCGCACTTTATCTACACAACCATAAAGCAGGCCTCATATGCATGCTCAGTGGAACATATTAGTTGACAAGAACAATAGGCCTAATCAAATATGAGGAAGTGGCTTTTGGAAACATTCCAACGTTGTCATAAAAACGGCACATAACCTGCATTTAAATGCTTATATTAGCGACTTACTTGAGAGATCTTCCTCGTCTTTAACTCGAGAGGTAAGACTGGGATCTTACTGTGAAAACCTCGGTGGGGTCTGCAGAAAATACACACCCGTTTTAGTAAAAGCAAATGACTACAGCGTTTGGACAGTTTAAATACCTCGCATAATGTAGACCTGACGCTTGCGTTCGATTAGGAGAACAATAAAGAGTTGAAAAAAAAAAAATATATATATCACTTTCAAACAATAACATAATTTAATAAACACGAGGCGGTGATTCAAAAACAACAACAGGCTACTAAGAAAATCCTTTGCGCGATTATATGAAAAGTGCCTCAGCTGATTAATTTAATTTAGTTATTTATTGGACAGACAATTGGTTAACATACATGTAATCAGTTAAATAATATGTCAGATTCTAGCTGCTGAGATCAACAGCACGTGTGCACCCTTTACGCACCTTTTTTGGATTCTGCATTGGAGGCCCTGAAATGCTGTTCAGTCTGGTTTGGATTGGTCTTTAGCAGAGGCTCGCCGCTCTGTTTGTGCAGGAGTCCCTCTCCAGATGAATTATAGCGCAGTATCCCTTGGCCCTGCAGCGGGCTGAAGTTGCCATAGTTTGTGTAATTACTATAAAACGGCGAGGTGTAATAAAGCGGTCTTCCTAATATGGAGGTGGCGGGGTACACTGCGCCCGTTGGAGACGCGCTGGACGCCGTGGAGGTCAAAAGGCCAACACCCGGGGGACAGTTCTGCTGCTGCTGCTGCTGCTGCTTTGGGTCCGAAGTGGCGATCTCGGCTAATGACCAGAGCTTAGGTTTAACGGTTTGGTTTTGACCGTCCAGGCATGTTTTGTTGGTGCTGCTCTCTCGGTGATGATGGGTCAAGAGAGGGGCCTCCACCGCGGTCAGAGGAGAGGAGGTCAGCGGCTTGGGTGACGGGCCTCTTTGCCTGTCCTCGCGGACCGTGTCCAGATCACTTGCGTCGCATTTGTCCTTGCTATCGGGTCCAGAATCACAAACCAGGTCTCCGGTCCTGCACGCGACCTTCTCCCCGTCCGATTCCACCGAGCACGAGTGATCTGTCAGGGCATCGACGTGCAAACTGATGCCTGCGGACGGAAACGAAACAGCTATGAGTTACTGCTGTCAAAACTGTGCGAAAACGTGCAAAACTTCTCTTAAAAATTGCATTACGACGTGAAAGTCTTAAATGTACAATTATAATTCTGTATAGGGCTACATTATATAGATGTCAAATACTTTTACAATAAATGCAGTACATTTTACGTTTTACATTTTACCAACCGTAAATACGCTTAAATTCTCTGTTATTGTTTCATGGAAATAAGCGCGCATTTACAGCTGCAGATTTTATTCACGACTTAACGGCCGAACAAAAACAAAACTTTTAGATCATATCCAGCTGTATTCTGCACCCGAGCTGCATTTGTAGGCTGTTCATGACCCGCACGAGCTTCTCTTTGAAACACACACACACACACACACACACACACACGCGCGCGCATGCAACTCCTGGACCCACAACCAAAACTATAACCATCCTATCATGCAATATTCATGCATTCCTATCAAGAACAATGCCTCGTGAATGGCGACGGCTCCAGCGCTGTTTACCATGTAGGACGGGAATCCCGTGGCTGGATCTGTGGAATAGGGCAGAGGGCTGGAGAATCCGCTGGCCGAGGCGGTGAACGCCGCAGATCCGGGGTACGGGCTGAACGCTGAACCGGAGGAGGACCGGACCAGTTCCTCGCTCCTCGGGGCGGCCAGCGGGCAGGAGTAGAGCGCCAGAGAGCCAGGGGGCTGGTAGAGGTAACCCTGAGGATAGGACATTATTACAGCTTCTCCAGAACAGGGACGCGGGAGGGCAGAAAACGGGCTGATCGATGCAATCAGCGCATTTAACCAGCGCGCGCAGGGATAAACTAATAAAAGAAAATAAATAAAAGCGCAAAAGAGGAGCGATCAGCAGAGTGCCGTCATGAAGATCCCCTAGCGTCCGTTTGTTTGTAGTGCTCGGGAGTGGAGAGTGAAGAGTTGCTGGAAGGAGCAGGCGAGTTTCTGAGAGCATTGGAGAAACAGGAGCTGTCAATCACGGCTCATCTAAATATTCCATCTCCGCCCCCTCTCTCGCGCTGTGAAATGCAATTCCGGAACAAAACCCCGGACAGAAAGCAGCCCGTGCGTCCTTGCCGTCGCGTTTCCGTCGTCCATCTACCGCATTTTTCTTTCTTTTTGATTTATTTCAGCGCCGGACGGATGACATGATGTCATTTTGCCATTTGTCATTTCTTTATAAAACAATCCCACCGAGGCTGTAGAGGTTTTGCTCGTGCATTACAGCGTATTTACACAGTCACACGAGAGCATAACTATAGGTACTAAATGCATGCGTAATTGCGCATTGCTATTGCATTTGAAATTACATGTCGTTAAGAAACTTAAAACTGCTGCACATAACCTAACAATGAAATGCATGCACTATGCAAATCAATTTCCAAAGAAAATAAGTTAGCTGCATTTTTTTTCTGTAGTATATTATTGTTATTATTATTATTATTAGTAGTAGTAGTAGTAGTATTTATAACACACATGATCCCTATTGCACGAACACAATATGAGTAATTTGAGCAGTCATTAAGAGTAAATACAATCAGACGTTCCTTCACTCCACTGACCAAGTTTTACCGTCAGAATTCGGTTGTTGCATTTGTAAATATGTATTGCAACGCGCAGCTCTGTAATATAAAGTGCAGCTCTTTTGAACCGAAGGCTACCTGCTGAATAGTGCAGTGAATGTGTGCCGCTGCTGCTGTGTGAACGCTGGGAGCAGCAGTGCGCGCTCAGGCCGGTGGGAGGTGTGAGTCCTCTTCATATTTCTGCTCTCTAATCGCAGGAGGTCTTCTGTCCTGACAGCAGGAGTTTGTCTTCACATACCTGTAACATATATTCAGAACTAATTCAGCAGGAATAGTTTTCTTTAGCACATCACTGTTCATGACGCGAAAACACAAACAGCGGGGAATTATGACTGACATAAATAACGGGCTGCGACAACGACTGGCGAAAACAGATGTGCAAAAATATGATTATGTGAATTTGATTTTTATTATTATTACTACAATTTCAAATGCATGTAAATTGTAAAACGGGTGATGAGGAAAACATATTCGTAAAACGCTTTTAATTGTCGGCTCCATTATGGTAAGTAATTTTCAAGAATGTACAGTTTCTTAAATATAAATTATTGCAATTAAATATATATCACTAACTGTATTGAATAAAAAAATGGAAATACAGTCCGCAAATTCCTTTAACAGTCACACACATCAAATATATATATATAAATATTTCGCATATTAGCAATGATAATTTTAAGATTATCCAAGGATTAGTTTAAATTAATAGAAATGCCAATTTAATTTACGTTCAAGAGGAAATTATTTATTGTCGTGCTATGTTAAATAATAATGGTAGTTGTGAAAAAAACATGTTCGAATTAAAACAAAGCATTATTATTATTTGTTTCATTTCATTTCATTAAATGTCTCCACATTATTCAACCCTCTGTTTCTGATTCAGGGATGAATAGCAGGTCTAATTTCTCCCTCATATTCCGCCCTGTTTCTACCCTCTTTCTTATTTCTGCGCTAAAGTAATTTGTAAAGACTGGAAACAGATTAATTTGGCGCTGGAGCTCACAGAGGACACACGAGGCGCGCGCCGCACAGCAGGGGGCAGTAGGTTAACTAGGTTAACTTCCAGACTTGGAAACCCTGGTGATATTTTAGTCCCAGCAAACATGATGGAATTATAGGAGATTCAGCCCAAGACTGCAGCTAAGTATCAGTGAAATGCACTTATCCAATTCACCAGCAGAAGCCTTTAAACATGAAATTATGGAATTAACTGACAATACGCTTGCATGGTATTACTGACTCGCATGGTTGAAAGCATAATACATATATAGGCCATGCACTCAAATATATAAGAATAAATATAAAATTCTACATATAATTTTATATTATTAAGTAATATATATATATATATATATAGTAATCATATTAAAAGTATTTTGAAAAGTAAAAAAAAAAAATCCTTTATTTCATGAAATGCACAATTCAAATACACACATTTTCCATAATTACTACAATATGACATATGGCACTTTCCATAATATGACACAATTCATTCATGTTAAATAGTTGGGTCATATCCTTTATTTAGTTGTTCTGCTGAACAAGACATTTAGGAGTGAATAGGCTCCTAATTCATATGATCGCATTATGCATTCGAATGCTATCATTTAAATGCATGCAATAACAAAATAAATGCATGCAATGTTCAAAAGAAATAAATCTGATTATTAAACATATTGCATAAAAACATGCATATTAATGTGCAAAATATGCATATTTCATGCATAATACATTTCTTTAGTTTAAAAAAGCTGATTCTTATTATTATTCTTATTGTTATTATTAGTATTATTATAGGAGCAGCATTGGCGAGTTTTGCAGTCATGAACAGTAAATACAATCAGCTGGATTTCCCAATAGAACAGTCACTCACCATTGATCAAGTTTTACCGACAAAATCTGTAATTATATGGGTCCTTATGCTCAATAAAGCTGATCTTTGATCTTATATTACTTCATTTACCCGTATGACTAAATGATTATTGATTTTACATTCTCAACTCTGAAATGTGAATGCCAGGCAGCTGACAGGGTTTCAAGTGCTGTTTCTGTGAAGTACAATTCTCTTTGGCCTGCTCCGTATGCATGTGTTTGTGTGTGCATAAATCTTGGAGAGCGTGTGTATGTTTATCTTCCCTTATGCACGTGTGTCTGTCGGTAGTGCAAAACAGTCTGAGATACAAAAACGTCAGTCCTTAAACAGTAGGTTGTTAAATAGGATATTTTAGAAATATGAAGGGTAAACAGATATTGCTTGCTGTAACCTGTGTGTTTCGTTAACATTCCCCTCTTGTGTCCACATCAGTCTGAACTTTGAAACAGAACACTGAGGTGAATACAGGCTCCTGTGATGCTCACAATCACAGACATAATGACACACAGAGGCAGAGTGCAGGACCGAAACCACCTTGATGTTGAATACTATTATGCATAGGAATATTAATAAATGGGTGCACTTTTTTTTAAAATAAAAATATTATTTGCAAATAATTTACTTTTTCGCTATATAAAAAAAAAAAAAGTAGTTTTTGTTTTTTTTCACTGTTCTTTTCCCCCCATTATTATTATTATTATTATTATTATTATTATCTATTCCGTATTGGTCCCATTTGATATCAGGTGTCTTTAACTACTATGTACGTATGCTGAAATAAATTAATTTAATTAACCTCTTAAGACCCGAGAAAGGATTTTAGGGGGAAAAAAAATAGTTTTTTTCATGCCTTTACATTGTTTAGAGCATAAAAAAAAAAGTTTAAAAAAAAGTTTAAAAAAAAAAGATATTTCGTTCATAAGTTATGCTATGTCCTCGGTAGAGGACATCGGGACTCAATTAAAAAAAACAAAAAAAAACAAATACATGAATGAACATGCATAGGCAAAAACAATAGATATTTTAAATCCCCAATGCATTTTTAGTTTTCAGGATTTCTTTTTTTTACCAAACTTTATAAAAGATGATTCTCAACTATGTTATACACCAAAATATAATGTCCTCATATGAGGTCACAGGGTCTCAGGAGGTTAGCTATTGTGTTCAAGCTGACTGCAGAACTGCTGTTGAGTTGGGATACGGTTAAGGTTAGGGACAGGTTTGGTACTGTGGTTAGGTTTAGGTTAGTTTTAAGTGTGGGTTAAGTGGTAGGAGTAGGGGCAACAGTGTAGTTATATATTCATTACAGAAAGATCTTTATATATATATAATTCAATATAAGTACAATGTAAAACATGTATGTACACAATATGTGCGTTGCATCGAATTAGTACTTTAAATGTAACTACATGTTTTCAGCACTGGCAGTGACTCAGAGAAAGGAATCTTTTGTCATTCTTCATGACTTGATTCAATCTGTATTCTGGTTATCAGAACTCATGCACTCTGTGGAAATATAACATGAGGTAGCTAAAATGGCCCGTATCAACCTACGTCTTCTTTCAACTCGCCTTTGAATGCCTGCAAATCCCAGAGTGTAAGAAAAGACGAGTGTTTGCGTGTCCGTAGGCACCTCAGCAAGTGCTAGATTTGCTGTTATTTCATCATGTTTCTACAGCGAGCCAGACCTTTCAAGAGAAAGAAAAAAGTCCGATATCACAAAAAGCAGCAGATTTCAGCCGAGCCGGAGCAAACGTGAGCGCAGATAAGCATAACACAAAAAGCAATTTGTCTGTGTGATAATTCGCCGGTGCGGCGTGGAGATACAGCGCTCTCTCTCAATGCTCTGACCCTGTGCTTTGGGGCGATGTGCTCCTCTGTCAGGGGAGAATGTCTTTGGTCTTCTGCAGTGGGCCCTGCGGGGCCGAGGAAGGGTGGCGACAGCCTCATCTCACCCGACTGGCACCGGCGAGCTCGCCAGACCTCTAATCAGCAGCTATCCATGCGCCTGGCAGCGGAGGGGTTTCGAATCAGCTCCTCGCCCCCAGTGAAAACCCCGAGCCCCATCCCTGTGTGAGCGCCGTTTGTGCCTCTGATGAAGTGTGTGCAGGAACACAGATGTTTGCTCGGCGTCTCCGGCTTGAATAGAGTCGTGGAGCGCCGAACACAGTCTCAATTTGTTTAACATGCCGCAGAAAGCCATGGATGTAAACGAGCAAGAGCGAGCGGCGTTTCTACTCTTGCTTTCTCCTCTGCTTGGATTTTTAAATGCAGCAGGATATGGATGCTGCATCAACCAGTGTATTGCGTTTGACAAGAGCCAGGCTCTCTGTCAATGCAAACTGATCTGTGTGGTTTAGGTGGCCCAGTATTACTGTAGATGGGTGTTTTCTCTGGAAGTCCCTGTTCGACCAGAGCTGGTCTCCTCCAACACATCTGTCCTCAGATATTTATGGGTCAGAGACAGTAAAGATGTCCAAGACGATGAAAGGGAGACATCTGTTCTGTCACATTTTTGGTTTGAGACATGTTTGAAGAATGTTTGAAAATAAAGGTCCTTTGTTATGCAATTCGCTATTTTAATGTTTTGTTTGTCACATGTGAACAAATT